GAAGGTTTTGTTACATATATTAAGTTGCTAATCTGTCTTACATTTTTGTTGTAATCTTGAAAATCAAGAAAATGTCACTTGGCACCTGAAAATATACCATATTTGCCTTTTTAAAATTTTATTTTGATTTTTACAGCTGTGGAATTTTAATTTCATTTTCCACAGCAATGATACATTAATGTCTTTTTCTCAATCTACTCTGTACCATCAAGATAAATAATGATGTGATTAACTCTAATCCTATAGGCATTCATCATACTAAAAATTGCACATGAGGTTATATGGCAAATAGTTTAGTTTGTATTTGTAAAAGCTAATCATTTGGCTGTGGCAAGTTTCTACAAAATTGTTCAAACGTTTCACCAGCTGTTCGGGTAACATTATTCTTCTTTTTGCTGATGTATTAGTAATTGTGCAATTCATCATTATCATAATGGTTAATGATAGTGGTTTAATGCCTTCAAACAGATGTTTCAAACACTGGGAACATTGAATTTAATGCACAAAAGTGAGCTTAGTAAAGTTATATTAAACTTTTTTTATAATGCTTATAATACTTTATAAAGATTAAAATAATTTAAAAGTAACTAATTAGGAAACATGTAGTTAGTTGTTCTAGAAATTAAAATGATATATCTAAATTGGAAATTATAAAGAAAAGAAAATTGTTGACTAAGCTGATAGATTATTCTGTGTTTTACGGTAGATTGTAATTTAACATTTTTATTCTACTTTTGTACTTCATTAGAAGGGTGACATAGCCAGGGAACTGGAATTTGTAAAACACAGTGTAAGAAGCAAGTTGGATGAGTTAAAACGAATGGAAGTGGAAAGACTGAGGAGACTGACATTACAGGAAATTGAGCAGAATGAATTAGGTCTGTACAGAAATGAAGATGGCCACTTACTTCCTGCACCTCCAGAAGGTCGAAAGTGGCGTACAATACCTCGTCCTCATGGGGGAAAAGGTGGTGGTGATACTTGCATGAATCTGTATATGCATTTTGTTTTTTTTACAAACTGACTGACACAAAAGCATGGTTATCATTGATTAGGAAATAAAACATTTTATGCACATAACACATTTCTATCTTTATTTTTGAGTTTTTTTTATATTTTTATCATTACTAAAAAACTTATTTTTTCTTTATATTATAAAATTTTTGTCTTTAGTGTTAGGTTAATTTGAGTTTACAAAGGAAGTAAGGTTACTGTATTTTTGTACTAGTTTTTTTTTTATGTGGCAGTTGTTGGTCAGTAACAGATACATCACAAAAACAGCATACTGTGCCTTTTTTTATTGAAGTGTCATTATTGGAAGGCCTCATTCGCACATAAAATAATGATGCACTTTCAGTTATTATCTGCGGTTCGCGGGTTCGCATCCCCATCCCACCAAACATGCTCGCCCTTTCAGCTGTGGGGGCGTTATAATGTGATGGTCAATCCCACTATTTGTTGGTAAAAGAGTAGCCCAAGAGTTGGTGGTGTAGCTTTGCGCGAAATTCAAAACAAACAAACAAACAGTTATTATCAATCTTATTATGATGCAGTATCCGCCGAAATTACTACTAAACGTATACTCCAACAGCTAAGGAATCCCATCTTGTAGATTTAGGCAATATTTCACCTACTTTTTTGGTTACTGAACCCATTCCAATAGAAAACTACAAATTCTTCCAATTTCTTTAAGAAACAGTCCTCGTTTGAAAACAATATAGACATTAACTGCAACTTTTCAATTCATTTGAACGTGTTTTTTTTAGGTAAATAACAGAAAAGAATATTATGATATTTCTGATAGTTTTACTTAAGTTGCATTTTCATGGCAATTAACATTGTTTTTGCTATTGCTTCAAGAAAAATTTTAATTTTGAAAAATACTTTATTTTTGGTGTAATGTGAAACTTGATTTGTATTGATGTCAACTTCTGTGTGATAACATACTGGTTTTGTAATTTGGTCTACTTAATGAATTTTTATATAGATGAAGTGATGTGGCAGTTTCACTAGTGGTTTTTTGTCAGTGCATTCCAAAATACGCAAGCCAAAACTTTATGTCCCATCTTTAAGGAATTGTGTTCAAATATTTAACTACCATGTGTTTGCACAAAATGAATGTAATCTTGCCATTTTGCTAAGGGTAATGCTTTTCAAAATGTAAACATGACTATACATAACTTCATGGCCTTTTGGCTTGAATTTGATAGTTGTCAAAATGAGGTTATCTTGAATCCTTTGTCAGTCAGGATTTATGTTTTATCATGTGTCCTACAATAAATCACACCAGTGATTCTTTTTTTTTTTTGCAGGATTTTAGACAGTAATTAGTCCATACATATGTGCCATTTTTGCTATCTTAACTGCATTTGAATATATTGTTTATTGATTTTTAAAAACGAAAAATACATTTTCTGGACTGTTTACACACACACATGCATGAAGCACATTTGTCATGAATATTCAGTAATGCTATAAATAGATATGTATTCAGACTAGATCTTGTTAAAAGCTGATAATAACTAGTGTAGCTCACTAGGAAAAGAAAATGCCTAATTTAAATTTAATATTGACTTGTATTCAGTTAGGTTTGTAACAACTAGAACTTTTATTTTTATAAAAATTAAGATGACAGGTTTTTAAAACTGATTTTGATAAATATAACTTAAGTTAATGATCTAAAATAAAATTTTATCAAGTCTAAGTCATGTAAGTTGTAGAATTGGTTTTCATTGAAATATTTTTCATTTCTTAATACTTAAATTTACTTTTTAACTTGAATTCAGATTTTGACTACAACGTAAATACTGAGTGGCAAGGTTTAGATTTTATGACTTGTTTGTTTCTCAGTCCATGTAAAACAAAATTCTTGGTACAAAATTACAAAAGTAATATTTTATCATCTTGAATTTTTATTTTCAGTCATTTCTACTGTCAGAAGGAAAAAAATTAAGGAATATCAGTGACACCCATCTGGTCTAGAAAGGGTTAAGATACTTTATTATTGCATCTCTTTCCAATTTTCATGCATCCAGTGAATGCAGAATATTTTTTTTGTCCACCTCATTTGAATTTAGATATGTTCATCAACTCATCTTTAGAGGATTGGGTTTCTTACCTCGACTCCTGGGAGATTTTAGGGCCCTGGTTGATCAAGGAGTCTTCTCTCCATAACACCATTCTCGATCCTTTGGTAGTTCATGGAGCTTTGTCTCGTGGGAGAGGGTGGTTATGGTACATTCTTACATCTCCACAGTAGTCACTTATATCACAGTGCAAGGTGGTGATCTCTGTGCTTTCAGATCCTGGATCTTCTTTTCTGGGCCCACAGTCGCCACATTGTGATCTTAGCTTGCCATTTTCCTGGCTTTCTGAATCTGGTTATGGATTGGTTATCTCCTCCCAACAAGATTATCCTCATGGAATGATACCTCGATTCACAGGTCTTTAGGTGGGTGTGTTCTCAGCTGGGAACACTTCATATATGCCTTCGCCACCCACTGGAACACCAAATTTTTTATTTGTCACCCCTTCCACACACACTAACTCCGGCGGTGATCTTATTATATCAAGTTTTGAGGGGTTTTCACATCTCTGCTCTCATATTCGACTTGTTTCCAGAGTTCTATCTTTATTCCAGACCTCTCCATGCCTACTGGTGGCTCCATATTGGCCCATGCAACCATCATTCCCACTGCTTTGACCTTTACTTATACAACCTCCCCTACCATTACTTCTGTCTCTATTCTGTCAACCTCGATTGGACATTGTTCATATAGACATCACCATACACTGTCTTCTCACATGGCTTTTGTCAGATCCATTGTCTTATCCCAGGGTCTGCCACCACGTGTTGCATCTTTCCTTTCTTGATCCATTAGACCTTCTTCCATGTCCAGTTACTATAGGTAATGTCATACCTTCCACCTTTGGTCTCTTCAACGTGATTTCCAACCTTTCATTCTCATCTTCCCCAATCCTTTACCTGGTTGTTTGTCAAAGACTTGGCCACTTCAACTGATTTTAGCTATTGGGCAGCCTCATTGAACACCGTCTGTTTCTCCAGGTTTCATCTGGTTTTGTCTTCCCATGTCACTTCCCTCCTTTTCCACTCCTTTCGAGTCATATGTCCTTCATGTTCCTTTGAGTTGCCTGATTGGGATCTAGTGTGGTCCTTCCTTGACAGTTCTATCATTTTCAAGTTGCTGAATGAGTATTTCTGGTGTTTCGTGTATCGAAATGTTAGTGAATATGCTGGACACATTAAAGTTGATCATTGTTTTGTGAGATTATTGTGGTGGCTTTTATAATCCCATTAAATTGGACTGAATTCTTAGTATGTGATGTTTTACCTGTCAATGATAGCCAAGTGGTTAAGGCACTCTATTCACAACCTGCAGGTTCAAATCCCTGTCCCACCAAACATGTTCGCCCTTTCAGCCATGGGGCATTATAATGTGATGGTCAATCCCATTATTCGTTGGTAAAAGAGTAGCCCGAGAGTTGGCAGTGGGTGTTGATGACTAGCTGTCTTCCCTCTAGTCTTACACTGCTAAATTAGGGATGACTAGCGCAGATAGCCCTCGTGTAGCTTTGCACGAAATTCGTAACAAACAAACAGAGCACAGCTGTTTATTCTGAACAGTTGCTTTCCGTTTAGTTTCAATGTTGTGCACCCACACCAGCTCCTCCATCTTTGCAATGTGTCATTCTAGCTTTATGTGAGAGGAGGTAAGACCGTATCATAACTAAACACTTTTCTTACATTGAAAATTTATTTCCGATAGTTACTTGCCTTTTCTCACCCTTCCTCCTCACTGACAGTGTTCTTTTGGAGCCTGCCAATTCTCGAAAGTGAAGATTGAGTGGGAATAGCAGAGATATTTAGCTGTAGCAATACAGGTGGCACAATACTATAGTTGGAGAATAGTCGCATGATATGTACATGTTCAGAAATGGTGTGAATTTGATGAGGTATATAAACTGGTGTGATGATTGTGAAAAATTTTAACAATGCTTAGAGGGCAGAAGAAGATCAAGCTAGGTAACTACCTATCGGAAATACATTTGCAGCATAAGAAAAACGTTAACTTTTATTATTATTTTTAACAGAAGGCTATAGTTAACAAAACTAGTTATACCTCATTTATTTTTGATATATCCTAAATTTACTTCAAACGTTGTTAATACTATTTGTTTTTGTAAATTTTAAATTGTGCAGTAACTATGTATTTATACTAGTTTTATTTACTACAGGTTTTAACAGAAAAAATATTAAGGTTCCTGTTCATATTGATCCATCAAATGCACATACATTCGAAGAGGAGGACTTGAAGAGGTTGATTCAGACAGTAAGTAGGATTTCATTTGTACATGAAGTGTAACCCATGCTTAGTTATGTGTAAAAGTACACACATGAACTTTAAAGAGCCCACATACAAAACTCTTATGTAAATATTACTTGTATGTTTAACCCTTTCCATATGGGTAGGAGTCAGAGCTTATGTCATCATGTTTTGTAGACTTGCATTCTGTAATGGGTGGGCCATGTAAGCTAGTTGTTGGAGTTCGACTTTACTAACAATCACAATATTTTATATTAAATCCAGAAATTCAGTCATGAGTGGAGTACACAAGTCACTAACTCGAGGAAGTTTACAGCTAGAATAAAGAACTGATTCTGAGACTGAGATTTAAAAACAACACTTTTTAATACACTATATCAAGATACTCGGCTACATCAAAATTACCAAAAGTATCTTGGAATATATTCATATCAAAACTATCAAACCCATCAATTTGAACTGGTAATTGTTCTTCGATTATACTTTCAATAACTTCCTTTAAATTACTCAACACTACCAATACGTTATCAATTAGTACTTGGTTGAATTCAGTTCAGTTATATCTTAACACTATACATCTGATCCTTATGTTATTCGATTCTAGAAAGAGACGGGAATAATTTACTTACATAGAGTTTAAACGGGAAACATTAGACACACACACCATGGTTGTAGACATGGTTTCTTGTTCAAAGACTGGAGGCTTCCGTCTTACCCTGGAGAGAACTCTGACTAACTTCTATAGCTACTGTAGAGACTAACAGTATCCTTAGAACTCCTTTCTGAGCTTCTGGGAGACTGACTTTTTGGTCCAAAGCAGAGGTCCTTGTCATGAATATTCTTGGTGTTCTTATGACTTTCCAAATAGTGTACACATCTACCCACAAGTAGGTCTGACACGTAATTTTTGTAATCTCATCATGATTCTCTGAACCAGAACCTAAAACACTTGACCATTGGTTACAGATAAAGTTGGTAAATCGGCAGCCTACTCGCTTGTATCTCTCCACACATTTTTGATATGGATCCTACATCAAAGTTCCAACTTATTCCCTTTTTTAGTAACTGTGTCTGAGTTAATGTAAACAATTTCTGTAGCTTTCTCTCTGCTACAATGGCATCAGTCTATAGATAATGATCTCATGCTCAGTTCTAGTGAGGCTTTCATAAACATTCTCACTGCTGTGGTAGTGTCGTTATAGATATTGTAAACATCTATCTCATTAATGTATATTTGGTTTATTCTTGGCATATTTTTTCTCCTTCGTTAATCTTTGTCATATAAGTTCTTTGATGCCTTTACTAAGTGTACACCACATTTATTCTTATTGCATATATGTATGGCGCACACAACTTTTTTTGTAATATGCATATTTTCTCAATACTTGAAGCATTTGAATTATGGTGAAATGCCCAAAATGCTGCAAATGCTTCAATTCAAAATTTTATTAAACAACTATTTTATGAATGTATGTCCATAAATTGTAGTTTATAATTCAGATTTTAGTATTATAAGCCTCGCCAGTGGCACAGCGGTATGTCTGCGGACTTACAATGCTAGAAACCAGGTTTCGATACCAGTGGTGGGCAGAGCACAGATAGCCCATTGTGTAGCTTTGTGCTTAATTACAAACAAACAAACAAGTATTATATGTTATTTAATTTCTTAGTTCAAAAAAATTAACCCTTTAAACACGGGTGGATGAAATTACCATCTGCTCAACTAGGGAAGGACATTTATACAACAAAAATATGGTAATTCAGTGCATTCCTCACAAAACCCTGTAAGATTTGTGAAAGTTTATAAGTTATTTTGTACACAAAGAATGACATTATTCTAATTACACCTATCTTCATCTTATAATTTTCATAACCTTTAGAACCTCCTAAATGAATATCAACAGGTTTTTTTAAGGTAAATATTTAGTGTGAAAGTTTATAAGTATTTTGTACACAAAGAATGACATTATTCTAATTACACTTATCTTCATCTTATAATTTTCATAACCTCTAAAACCTCCTAAATGAATATCAAAAGGTTTTTTTTAAGGTAAATATTTATATTTTATTTTTAATTTTCTTTACCATATCACTAACACTAGCTATTATAATTAACATGCAATGAAGTGATTAAAATTAAGAAATAAAAAAAAAATATATATATATATATATACACCTTTTGAATTATTGGAGAATATCTTTAAAGATGTTGTCTTGCTTATATTTGTAATTTTGGGTCTTTTCCTGTTTTATTTTCCATTCTTGTCCTTCCATTTATTATTCATCTTCACACAAATCAATGGCATATTACAGTTTCTTAGAAGACATGTGCAACCCTTCAGTAAAATTTTCGTTCAGCACATTAATATCATAAGCCTTGAGAACAGATGCAAAGAATGATATATATTTTTTTAAATTTTAAACTTTTTAACCCTATCACCACGGCTGTCATTTACTGCACATGACACAAGTTTTTGTCTTACGTTCAAAATTCTATTAAACTATTTTTGCTTATGTTATACCAATTAGTATAGCATAAAATATAATCCATATTTTAATTGTATATGAGTTTTAAGTTCTTA